CTGATCACCCCCTACGCACTCCCATGCCAGCCTGATTGATGGCTAACTGCTCCCCTACCAGCCCAATGGCCCCTAACTGCCCTCTCCTGCAGGCTTGGGTCCCCCGCAACTACCCTTCTCTGCAGGTGCAGTCACCCCCAACATCCCTTGTCTGCCGGCCTGGTCACCCCTAACTTCCCTCCCCTGCAGGCTTGATTGGCCCCAACTGCCTTCCCTTTCAGGCCTGGTCCTTCCAATTGCCCTCCACTGCTGGCATATTGTGGTGGCCATCTTGTGTCCACATGGGGGCAGCCATCTTTGACCACATGAGTGATGGTCAATTTGCATATTACTCTTTTATGAGATAGGATAAACAAGAGGCCCAGTGCACGAAATTCATGTATAGGTGAGGTCCCTAGGTCTGGCTGGTGATCAGAGCCATCTCACCCAGTCCTGATTGGAGCTGGGACAATCAGGGCCAGACAGATCAGGGCCTGACAGTCAGGGGGGAGTGATGGAGGAAGGGACCATGGGAGGTTGGCCAGCCAGGGGAAGAGGGAGGCTGGCCAGCTCTGGGGAGGGACCAGAGGAGGTTGGCCAGCCATGGGAAGTTGCTGTGGAAGTGCACTGAGCATCAGGGGGTAGCTTCGACATTAAGCATCTGCCCCCTGGTGGTCAGTGGTGTCATAGCAACTGGTCAACCAGTTGTTCTAGTCATTTGGTCATAATGGTCACTTAGGTTTGATAGATAGATAGATAGATAGATAGATAGATAGATAGGATCTGTAAACAGCCCAAGTGTCCACCTGCAGATGAGTGGATTAAAAAGCTATGGTACATTTACACAATGGAATATTACTAGGCTGTATAAAAGAAGGAACTTTTACCCTTTTCAACAGGACCTGGAGAGTATTATGCTAAGTGAAATAAGCCAGCCAGAGAAAGACAAATATCACTTGATCACAGTTATATGTGGATTCTAATAGATAAAATAAACTGACAAACAGTGGAACCAGAAACACAGATACATGGAACAGATTTACTGGTGCCAAAGTGGGGTGACTGAATAAAGAATGCGAAGGGGTTAGCTGTGTAACATATGCATACCCTATGGGCATGGATAATAGTTTGGAGAAGGTAAAAAATGGGGGAGGTCAGGATGGGTAGAAGAGGGCAAAGGCGGGGACGGAAAGAAGAGATCAACCAAAGAACTTGTGTGCATATATGCATAACCCATGGACACAAACAACAGGATGATGAAGGCCTGGGATGGAGGGTGGAGTAGGCTAGAAGGGGTTGATGTGGGAGAAAGCGGGACAAATATACTTTTAACAATAAAGTTTAAAATTTTTTAAATTAAAAAGTAATAAATTGAAAATTAAGAAAGAAAAAGCAAACAAAGGAAAGAAAAATACACTGAGTGGCCAGATTATTATGATCTCTGAACACATAATAATCTGGCCACTCAGTGTGTGTGTGTGTGTGTGTGTGTGTGTGTGTGTGTGTGTGTGTTAATTCGTGCAAGGGTAGGGTCCAGCCAGCCTGGCCAGGGGGAGGGGACATGGGCAGTTGGCTGGCCTGCCTGCTAGTCAAATTCCTGGTAGAGGGAACAATTTGCATATCAGCCTTTTATTATACAGGATTACATAGGATAAACACTGAGTGGCCAGATTACTATGCGTTCAGAGATCATAATTATCTGGCCATTCAGTGTATATGTAAAACCAAAAAAAGGAAAAGAGAGAGATACCTAAGGGAAAACTCCTGTTCAGGGGTAGGTGAGGAAACAAGGCAAATGATGTTAAAATGCCTTCCTGTCTTTGCCTATGAGGTGCATTTTGCTGATCCAAAAATAGATAATCATTTTTCTCAGAGAAATCTACAGTCAGGTTTATTTTAGGCCAAAGGAACAGAGCAAAGAAAAGCCAATGACCCGCCGAAACCAGTTTGGCTCAGTGGATAGAGCGTCAGCCTTCGGACTGAAAGATCCCAGGTTCGATTCTGGTCAAGGGCATGTACCTTGGTTGTGGGCACATCCCCAGTAGGGGGTGTGCAAGAGGCAGCTGATCAATGATTCTCTCTTATTGATGCTTCTAACTCTCTGTTCCTCTCTCTTTCTCTCTGTAAAAAATCAATAAAATATTTTTTTAAAGAAAAGAAAAGAAAAGCCAATGACCTAGGGATAGCTCACTCTCTCTGGCCTTCAGTACAGAAAGACCACAGTCTTTTATAGTTAAAAGTCTGATGATGCCAGTCCTGGCCCTTGTTGGCCTTAAAGTGTTCAAGATTTGAGTCCCCTCTGGGCTTCAGTTTTCTCACCTGTAAAATAGGGGTAGTACTCCCAAATTCAAAAGACCACTGTGAGGATAAAATACGTGTGAAAGTGCATATGCATAATACTGCTCAGTCCCTGATCATACAATTTTTGCATAGCACATAAGCCAAAAATCTTTGGAATGCCACAAATTCATTGTTTTGCTAAGATTCATCTTCATAATTGTATTTTGCTGAGTCTAATATTAAAATTAGATAGAATTCCCCTGCATACCACAACTAACAAAACACAGGTGTTGGGCAGCAGGGGAAAACCAAGATGGAATTTAAGTTTAAATTTTCAAATCTATATTCATTGAACACAGAGCTTACTGTATAACCATCTCACTGGGTCCTCTCACTCAAATGGCGTTCCTCTCAAGTGGGCAACTCACTTTATCCCCAGAACAAATTTAGGTAAAGAGGAAATGGCTATAGATTAAGCTATACGAGCCCAATCAACATAGACATGCCAGAATTTAAACTTACCTGGGAAACTGAGGCTCAATAAACCCCTCAGGCATAATGGGGATAATGTGATTATCTAATTTTATCTGTCAACTTGGGTAGACAAACAATTATTATGTTGCTCTGAAGTTGTTTTATGGGTTGTTGTTGTTGTTTTGTTTTTAAGATATAATTCACATTTAGATCCATAGGCTCCGAATAAAGCAAACGGTCCTCCGTAATGTGCATGGGCCTATTCCAATCAGGTGAAGGCCTTAAATGAAAAGAGGATCTCCAAGGAAGAGGAATTCTGTCACCAGGCTGATTCAAAGCTGCAACTGAACACTTTTTCTAAACCACGTACTCCCTAAATTGCCCCTCATCTGTTGGCCACAGAAACGAAATACCCTCCTTATAACTCTCTTTAATAGTCCATCTACGGTATGAGGTTCTCTTGGGGGGAAGAGGGGAAATAGTACAACGATGTGGTGCAAGACAAAACAGGTTCAGGCTCCCATGGAGTTTGCATTCTACGTTGCGAGACAATCACATAAGATAATTTCTGTGTGCTAAGAACAATACAACACACACACACACACACACACACACACACACACACACACACCACGGTGATGGAATGGCCTCTGGAAGAGGAAAAGCATTCTGTACTTGGGAGCGGCCAGTGGCCTCAGCACCAAGCACGGCGTTCTGGGACCCTAAGAGAGTCCTATAGGGGGGCGGAGCAGAGGGGTGCATTTGTAAGAGTCTAGAAAGACATGTAGAGTGGCTATTCAAGACTGGTCCCTAACCGGCTTCATGCAAGCAGCGGGTTAGGCGATTAGGTCTGGAGATGAGGTGAGAGATAGAGCCGAGGGAGCCTGCTGCTAGATCCGTCCGCTCGGAAGCCCTGGACCCACTCCTACAGGTAGGCCACTGAGCAGAAGCAGCCGCTGAGAGGCGCGGGCGGGCGGGCGGGAGTCTCACATCCTCTCTCACTTTCCCGGGCGACCGATCAGGCCTCGCCTCCTCGGGCCCCGAGAGGTTCTGGGCGGATCAAGACCGACTGCAGACCCGGCGGTCAGCATCGCCACTCTGAAAGCGAGTCCCGGGCTGGACTTCCCGCCCTCCCCCACACCACCACCGTCACCACCACCGTCACCACCACCATCACCACCACCACCACCCGCGGGCGAGCTCGCCATCGAGCTGCATGCACCCCGAGAACAGGGATCGGCGGTCTGCAGCCGGGCTCATTCAATCAAATCCTCCGGCCTCCTCCGGCTCCCGGACTCACCCTCCTTCACGCTGCTTCTTCCTTTCCTCCCCGCACTTTTCCTGCAGGGCGGGTGCAGTGGCGTTGGCGGGAGGAAGGGAGGGAGCCGGTGGAGGGGGCAGAGGCGGCGGGAGGTGCAGGGCTCCGGGCGCTGGGAGGCTGCGCGGGGTTAGGGCCCCCCCCCCTCCCCCGAGGCCCGGGTCGCGGCAGGAGGTGGCGGCCGAGGGAGCGGCGGGAGCGGCGCGGGAGCAGCTGGCGGGGGAGGGGAGGGGACGGGAGCACCGAGGCCGCGGAAAGAGGAAGATGCTTAAAAGTTAAAACCGAAAATAAAAAAAAAAAAATTAAAAAAAACTGCCGGGTTGAAATGACCGCCAAAGCGGGGAGCGGAGGGACAGGGCGCACCCCTTCCCCCCGCAGCAGGGACCCGCTCTGCCTACCGTGGCTCCGGCCCGCCCGCGCCGCGCAGGGCAGCGAGCAGCGGTTTCCTCTCCCACATCTCGAGTTCGGTTATAGCGCCATTTCAAAACTGACATCTGGCCTCCTGAGTGGCGGGCAGCGCCATGACGTGCTCTTCGCTTTGCTTTGCTTTCTTTCTTTTTCTCTTTTCAAATGATCCGGCTTGGAGACAGGGAAGACCCTCGGCGAGGGGCGCAGGGAAGGCGGCGGGAGACCCGGGCGCGGGCTGGCAGCTGCGGAAGCGCCGGGCGGCGGGTTCCCGGCGGCCTGTCGGGTGACGGGCGGACGGGGGGGGGGGGGGGGGGCCGGGGAGGCGTCCGCCTTCAGGACCGGGAGCTGTCACCGCGCTGGACGCCGAGGCCCGGGGGGCGAGGAGGGGGCGCCGATGGGCAGAAACAGGCCGCGGGGGGCGGGGGGAGCGGGACGCCGGGCTCCCGCCGGGCGCGCACCGCTCTCGGCCCGCCTCCCGGGCCGCGGGGAGAGGGCCGGCGGGCGGGCGGGCGGCGCGCCGGGGACGCGGGCGGGCGCGCGCTCGGGGGCGGCGATGGGCCCCTCGGCGGGCGGCGCGTGGTCTCCGGAGGTGTGAGCGAGGCCGGCGCACAGCGGCTCGGGCTCCGATCCCGAAAGGCGGGCGGCGCGGGCCGCGGCCGGGGATGGTGCGCACCTACCGGGTCACCGTGCGGGTGCGGCGCGCGGGCGGCCCCCCGCGCGAGAGGGCGTTCGTGGTGGAAGTGCTGCGGCCCGCGGGCCAGAGCGCCGCGCCGGGCTGGCGGGCCGCCGTGGCCCTCGTGCTGGCGCTGCTGCGGAACGGGCGCCGGGCCCGGCAGCCGCATCCTGGAAGACCAGGTAGGACGGGCTTCCCGCAGTCCCCGCACACCCGCCGCGGGGGCTCATCCCGCTGGGGGGGGGGGGGGGGACTGGAGGCAGGTAGCCATCACCTCCCCAGGGTGGAGGCGCAATGCGATCTCTCTGTCTTACACTAACTTAGAGGGGAGGTTCTTTCTTTCCAGTATTTTGAGCTGTTGAGCCCCTGGAACCCTTTCCTGAGTCCCAGGAAACTCAAGGTAGGGGGGTGAGTTTGGGGGTTGGGTGGGGGGGCATCCTAAACCCACCTCAGAAGTAGCCCTGGGTGCCCTGGGTGGAACAGTCAGTGCACGAGCGCACACACATGCACACACATGCACACACGCACACACCAGGTGTGTTCCCACGGCGCTCTGTGGCTCTGTGCTGTCCTGGGGTACAGTCTTACTAACGGTCTCAGTTTTGGGGGGGCCGCCTCTTCCTCCACAGCCCCCCTTCTGGGTCCCCCTTCCCTCCTCCCAGCGCCCGCCTGTAGTCTGACTTCCTGAAGTGCCAATGGTTAGTCACTCGCAAGTGGCGATATTGCAGAAATGTGCTTTTTAGGAGGTGGCAGGTTTATTTCGCCAAAAAGAAATTCAAATGTCTCGGGACAATGGCCGCGTGTGCAGGAGACAGTGGTACATCCAGGGAGTCAAAACCAATCGTATTTTAACCTTCTCAAGCCACAGTGAACACTTTCAAAAAAAAAAAAAAGTGAGGCCTACTTCTTGAAAAGCAGACTCACTCCTAAGGTAATGTATCTTCCTATCAGATACATCTTGATACCGTCGGTGTAATTTCCTATGGCCAGAAAAATGGAAAATATATATGTACCCTGTTTCCCCGAAAATAAGACAGAGTCTTGTATTAATTTTTTCTCCCAAAGTTGCTCTAGGTCTTACTTTCGGGGAACCACGTTAGTTACAATAGGCAAGCAACCTATTAACATGTGGGCAATCCATCAACAATAATTTAATGAGGTTTCATTTTTGTGACCATCTTCGTTGCATCATTTCCTCTGGAATATGTGTTTTAAAAAATGCAAAGGCCTGCAGAAGGGTAATTACCGGTAGTTTTTACTGTAATGTTAATTGGCTTTTTGACATGCAAATATAAACTGTAAAACTTTGAATGTTTAATTAGATGTTTCCATTTCTTTTGGCAAAAGTTTACAGACAATTTGTAAGGTAAATCACATTATTATGAAAATTCAGTTTTTAGAGTCGTAGCAGGAGTTTACAAAGAATTTCATAGGGCGATCCTGTTGGGTTTTTTTAATGGTGCTTTATTCTTAGCAGCAAATGTTTAGCCACTATATGTTTTTTAGTATCAGAGTTGTTAATTACTTTATATTACTCTTTTTATAAAGCTATTTTATTTAAATTATTTTGTACAAGAAATATATAGTAACAGTAGAAAATTTTAATCTATGTAAATACTGTAATTATGTGTTTTTCTAATTTAGGAATACACAATATAATATTGTGGTGACTAAGTTGTAGAAAATATTTTATAGCATGTTTTATAAAATGTTAAGAACAAAAATGACACATTCATTCAAAGAAGCAGTTTATTTATTTACTTTTTACAGTTTATTTATTTTATTTACTTTTATTTAGATATAATTCAATTTTCAGGAATGATGTGCAAGGTTATTTTCAAATGCATTGATCACATGAAAAGCCCAATTTTCAGCAAATATCTGAAAACAGAACACATGACTTTGGTAGAATAGAATGTCTTGAAAATGTGTGCAATTCTCCAACTTCATATGTGAAATTATACACATAAATAAACATCTAGAATTGTTAATTACAAATGGCAAGTAATTACATATTGGATAATTATGCTGGTATTTATACAATCTTTGAGAGCCACACTGCCAAAAATAACTTGTATGAATTATTTAATATTAATGCAAATATGCAGGTGTTATTTTAACATATTTTTAGTTTCTAGAATTCTGTTTACTATGACTTTTTATTTTTATGATTGGAAATGTATAAAATAAAATCCCACATTACTAGTTTGTTATCATACATGCCTGGTGAATTACATTAATTGATTTGTTATCTCTGCATTGGTGTGTTTACAAAATAATATTTTTATGAGACTAAATATCTATTTGATGACTACCACTTGGGAACTCTTAAGAGTTTTAGTGTTTTCTCAAGGTAATCACTGTATAGTTAGCATAAACCATCATTTCCAATGTGTATATGACCCCTTCATTAGTTCTAAGAACAATAATCCTTTCAGGAATCAAGACTTAATATTAATTTAGTTCTTTAAAGATCCTTGAATTTTAAAAATTCATTTGTCTTCTAAGATAACAATGGTGTAGCTATCTATGTCCAGAATATTTTACAGATCTGCTAATTACATATTAGTTCATCACTACTATCATGGTAAAATTACGCCAAACAATTTTCCCAACATGCGAATAAGTTCTATTAGTAAATTGATACACATCATCTCAAAAATACTTTCTCTCTCTTCCTCTCTCTCTCTCTCTCTCTCTCTCTCTCTCTCTCTCTCTCTCTCTCTCTCCAGAAGGCTGAACATCTGGCCCAGTGATTTTACTCCTTTAAAATCTTTAGTCCTTTTTGAGAAGTGTAACAATCTCAGCCCCTGTGCTGCTGGCTGCACCTATTCACTACGTTATTGTTGGTTTTTCAAGTGACGGTAAATATAGGACGAATGTGTAGCTGTGCCTCTTTACAAGGGGCCTGGGAGTTAGGCCTCTGGTCTCCGCACTGGCCCCCTTCTCCATTGACTTCAGGTTGGGGCTCCCCCACTTCTCAGAGCTAGATCTGGGTCCAAACGTGGGATCCCTGGACCCCAAGAGAGCACACAATAGGAAGTGAGATTCGAGCTGCTCCCCGTGACTTTGTCCCCCCTCTTCTCCCCGCCTCCCACACTGCAGGGCACCTCCTGGACTCAATTCCTAGAGAAGTTTTAATGGGCAGCTGGGGTGAGGCCCTGCAGCAGGTTAGCCGCTGGCATAGTTAGGGCCCCACTCCACCAATGCATTCCTTCTACTTTTAGTCTCTCCCCCTCCCCCACCGCACCCCGCCTCGCCCCTCACCCCAACTATTTCCACAGGTAAAATTTGATCAGAATAACTAACTCTAGACCAGGGGTTATATGTAAAGCCAGACTGGGGGTAGGGGCGGGGGACGGGCGGTCACTGGGTGGAGAAGGGTGTGGGGGCAGGGCAGAGTCTGAATGGGCCTCGTGGACTCAGAAGTGCCAGGTATGACCAGAGACGCCTCTAAGTCACTTCCCGAGCTTGAAACTGACCGAGCTTTATTTTCTTTCGGAAGGGGAGGGGTTGGAGTGGGGGGTAGGTACATTCTAGAGACCCAGAAATCCTGGGGAAAGTGCAGTTCAAGACTTAGGGCTATTGGGGAGGGGGGGCGGGGGACAGGGGGGGGCGGGTAGGGACTTCCACTTCTGGAGAGTTGAATGGCCACACCCTCTGTTTCTCCGTCAGGGTTGCAAAATGGTTTTGCCAGTGTGGCCCCTGGTATTTTTCCAGAGATGTCTCTCAACTGTTTTCTTCTTATAGTGAAGCTTTCCTCATGTTAGACATTTCCCCCCTCAGTTTAATCATTTAAATGAAATCATTCATTAGAATGAAGAAAAAAAGCACCTCTGTAAGCCTAATAACAAGATCAACGTCTGTCTATAAGAAAATCTTGGGATTAAAGACTGTTCAGTAGGGAAATGAAGGTCATTTTAGGGCTCTGCTCCATTTTAGAAAATGCCTACCAATCTGGGACCTCCACCGATTCCCCATTTCCTAATTCATGGTGTTCCTGTGTTAGTCACCAATCCCATGTGTATTAAAAATTGTTGCATTTGCTGTTAATAGCATTTTTTTTTTAAAGAAGGGATTATTGAAGTTGTTTGTCCCACGAGCCTTAGAATGATAGTTGCGTTTGGGCGGAACTACATAATCAGGAAGAAGTATTATTAATAAAAGGGGGGGAAATGAAAACCATCAGCTACAAAATTTAAAATTCCAGTACCTCAGATGTCCTTTGGAAAAGAGTAAGTTGATTTTTATTTTTATATTTAAAATAACAGCACAGCTTTGTTCATAAGAATAGAAACACTGTATCGCAAATGGCCTTTGAGTCCTTCAATTCTAGCTTTCAGTTTTCCCCTTTACCTCAAAAATTCTCAGAATTCATTCAAATGGCTGCAAAGCCAATAGTAATTTTTCAAGAGAAGAAAAGTTTTGTAGAGGTTCAGAAGATGTGAGCAAAGATATATAACCTCTTCAGCTAACTGAAGCTCACAAAAGCATGTAGAGCGGTATGAATAAATATACCGTTACTTTGTTAGTTTAAGCATGAGAGGAGTGAGACAGCAAAGGAGGCGGCAAAGAGTATCAGAAGCAGCATTACCTGGGCTGCTGTTTAAGATCCACATTTCTGGGTTTGCTCCCTGGAAATTGGAAAGCAGATTTGTGTTAGGTGCACTTGAGGGGGATTCTGTTACAGGTGGCTTACTGAGACACCATTGACAAACATGGCCAATGTACTTTCACTTTATGTTTGCTTATTTTAAAATCAAGGTCCAGGCTTTTAAGTAAGCTTTAAAATTCCAGAATCAGCTGAAACCGGTTTGGCTCAATGGTGGAGCATCGGTCTGCGGACTGAAGGGTCCCAGGTTCGATTCTGGTCAAGGGCATGTACATTGGTTGCGGGCACATTCCCAGTAACGGGTGTGCAAGAGGCAGCTGGTGGATGTTTCTCTCTCATGGACGTTTCTAGCTCTCTATACCTCTCTCCTCTCTGTAAAAAAATCAATAAAATATTTTTTAAAAGTTCCAGAATCAGTCCATCACGCTTTGAATCCTAGGACCCTGAATCTGAGTCATCAGGAGGAGCCATTTTACCAAATGAAGGAGCACCTTTATTATTATGGGATCTTTCACCTGGCTTGCAAAAGACTATCTCTTTTAATACTAAGGACCCTTCTCTAAACCATCT